TGGTAGACGGGGAGCCCGAGCTAGCTCGAATAAAGACTCTTATGCTTTTGCATCGGACTCGGCTGGCTCCCTGGTGTGGTCTCTTGGGGATCCTGAAATCTGGGCATAACACTAATTGGCTTTATTAAGCAATTCAGGAATTAGGCAGCATGCCATCTAGCAACTAGAAAGGTGCTTTGATGAGTTGTACAAAATGGAGGGTTTTTACAGTCAGAAAGAGGGTGAGACTACGTAGTTAGAAGGCTGGATTATTTTAGGCAAAGGCACCTTCATTCAGGGGAAGGCAGAGGGTCTTATCAGCCAGATTACCTCATCAGTGCTGATCAGATAATTCTAAATTGACTGGTTTAAAATTTCACCTCTGAAAGAGGCTGAAATTCGGTTAGTTGCTAGGTTTTAGTTTGGTGACATGGATTAGCAAAAATGATCCACAATTTTTTTTTATGAACTAGAGGCCTAGGTCACAAAATCCGTGCACTGGTAGGGTCCTTAGTGGCTGCCAGCTGCAGATGGGGTACTCCCTCCCTTCCCCCAGTGGCCTGCTGCTGCAGGCCAGGGCTTCCTTCCCTTCCCCCAGCTGGCCCCACCCCTGGTGGAACTCCAAGTCAAGGGGACAATTTGCAAACTACGCATTTATTATATAGGATTTTCATGCCTATGATTTTTTAACTTTTACAATGGTGTGAAAGCAATATGTTGTCAGAAAAAGCTAGTAGGCTAAGCTATGATGGTCAATAGTGTTGAAAAGAATGGAGTAGAAAGCAGTCCAAAATGGGGTCACTTTGGTAACATGTGAAGTAACAGATACGTTAGTTACCTTGATTGTAGTGATTCTTTCACAATGCATATGTATACTGAATGAGGTTGCACAACTTAAATATAAACAATATATATTTGCTTCAATTTAAATATTTTCCGCTTAGTCCTTTCACGTGCGCGCGCACACACACACACACACACTCTCTCACATACATACTTCCATTTTTAGCTTCTAGTGTCTTCATACATCTCTCTTCTCCAATTTGTTTCAAAATAATCAAAGGGAAAAGGGAGAGGTGTTAGAATTGTCTTTAGTAAATGACACAAATGTTTCTGTGTCCTGGTCATTGATCCAATAGGTTTTAATCATGGACCAGTTTATGAGGGTATTGAGGTGTTAGTGCATGTTTATAAACTAAAAAATAATTACGAGAATAAAAGAAAAGAAATCCCACACAAAAATCATAGCACTATCTTCACAGATATCTGCAGTGTGAGTTCTTTATTAAAGGGAAAACATGAAAAATCTTTTAAATCAGGAAGAGTGAATGAGTCTTAATGATCTAGTACATTGTTAATACTCTGACTTACTAGAGTGATTCAAAAATTTGTGAAGAGAAAAAGAAAGTCCTGTATAATTTCTTAATCTTATTAGTTACAAACATAACAAGGTTGCCAAATTATACAGACAGAGCTCTCATTTTGCCAGTTCATATTTCTAAATATTTAATGCTTCCCCCAACAGCTGACTTTGAGAATATCAAAAAGCAGTTACTTTTAAAGCACTCCCTGTGATGAAGTAGGAAAAGCCCTGGATTAGTAGCCAGTTGAAATGGATTTTTTTTGAAATGGATTTTTTTGTGTCAGCTTTTCCACTATCTTCATGTTCTTCATCAAATCCTTTAACTTTGGGCCCTTTTTGTAGCAACATGAGCATCACAGGGGTGCAGTGGTATTAAAATGAGATAACTGAGATGAAAACACCTTAAAATATTTGAAATGCTATATCATACACATAATGACGAAATTCCAGAGGATCAGATTTGAGAGAGCTAAGCTGACCAGTATTAGAAAAGGAAGCAGAAGAGTTTATAAAAAAATTTTATTACAGGAAGCCCAGTCCCATTATAGGTTTATGTCTCCATTTCTCTTTGATGCATTTAACAGAATGGATTATATAGAGAAAAAGGAGTAGGCATAAGCAGCTGAGGCAGAGCCTGAGAGAGCTCAAATGTCATTGCTATTCAAGGAGTAGTAAGTTAATCAACCACGGGGCCATAACCCCTGCAGGGTAGTATCTATTTGTCAAAGTGCACAGGCAGCTTACCCTTACAGGCGATGACAACACGCCTAGAGCTGCCCCTGCCCTGATATCTGCAGTTTCCCCGGGAACCTGCTATAAGCCTGCAGTCTGTGACTCTCACTTCACCCTCATGGCAGTTCATCTTGCCATTCTTGCACGGGATTTTGGGGGTTTTGCAGATGTTCTTAATGGTGCCAATGTCTTCATGGATGAAGGTGTTGAATTGCTTGCACCTAGACTTAGTCATCCCCCGTTCTTGCATCATTTTTTTGCAGTACGAGCTGTTGCCACCTTTCTCTGTGGAGTCCACATGTTGCCGCTGGAATTTTTTATATCTGGTCTCGCCATAGGAGGGCTGCACCAGCCCCAGCCCCAGCAGCGTCAGCAGTGAGAGCAGAAGCAATGAAAGGGTCTTCTGGAGACCTATCACTGCCTTGGAGGTGCCTGAAGAGAAACCAAGGGGAAGGAGAAAGGAAGGTTACAAATGGGCATCAGAGAGAGGTGTTGAGAATGGCAAGCTGATATTTCCTCAACTCTATAGTCTACTCTTCCTCCCCTCTTCTCTGCTCACAACTTTTCTCATCACTGCTTCCCCAAGACTAAAAAGTTTGCAAACATGTTCATCCCTGAAAGCAAGAGATTTACTCTTTTATAGAGAGACGGTGCTGTAGCCAGTACAATGACTCAGGGCAGAGACTGACGGGCTGGATGTCCAGGTGTATGTGTCCTGTATGGTCAGGGTATGAAAAGGGAGAAAAGACAGATCTAAATGACACTGGAGTTCTCTGTCTCTTGAGGAAATTCTCTAGTCATGTGATCTTTGGAGAGTGTTCTGTTCGCTGGAGACTCTGATTCCCAAAGGTTTGGATAGATAGGATATGCCAATGAGAGTTTGTGAACTGATTTTAGTTCCAGACATCTGGGAATTGAGGAAGGTGTGGGAAAAGGATAGAGTAACGTTTAGGGTTAGCCTTTCCTCTCATGTGTCTATTCTTTTTTAAATTAAAAAATTTTTAATTACAGTTGATGCATATTAGTTTCAAGTGTACTACATAATGATTTATATAGCTTAAGAAGTGATCACCACGTAAGTCTAGTACCCATCTGACACCATACGTCGTTATTATAATGCTATGTCTGTATTTCCTATGCTCAATTGGCATCCCCATGGCTATTTTTAAAACTGGCCATTTATACTTCTTAATTCCTTCACCTTTTTCACCCAGTTGGCATTCTTTTAATGGTATTAAAATCAAGTCTTTTTTGAAATCTTGCTAATTCTATAAAAAAAAAAACAAAGTAAAAAACAGAGTATCCAGCCAAAGTGCTCTGAATATAGTAAATATTGGTTGAGTGAACTAATAAACAAAACGAGGGAACTAGTGAACAAATAAAATGAAATGGCTTGTGGAACTGACTGATAAAAGAAATTTTAAAAATAAATCTCAACAGCACAATCACCACAAAAGAGGACTTAGACTGTCTTTTTTCCTTGCTGTTTCTATGCACAACCAAAAACTGGGACTTGGTGATATAGTCTATCATCATGCATGTATCCTTCATGCTGTGTCTATCTTGTCAATAGCTGTTGTTAGTTTTCTGTTGTCTCCAGTTTTAGAATCCTTTTGTTGGCACTTTTGGCAGTGGAAAATAAACATATGCTCAATCAAGTTTTTTTTTAAAAAACACACACCACAAAACTAAACAAAAACCTTCAGAGCCACAACAAAGAAAGCATTGCCATATAGTGTCAGAACAATTGCTTCTGTTGACCGAGGAAAGGAAGGAACCCAGACCTATCTGACTCTAAAATCAGTGCTTTTTCCACATCTTCTACGCCCTCTCTCTTTCCACTCCCCAAATATTCAGGATATTCAAGACATTTATGTTCAGAGTTGCTTCTCTCTAGCAGCAGAGTTTAATCGTGGGTGGAATAGGGGAGGAGTAGAAGTGGGAATTGCTCACCAACACCAACTAGCTTCAGCGGTTCTCAATCTGTGGGTCACGACCCCTTTGGGGGCCGAACAATCCTTTCACAGGGGTCGTTTGAAAATACATCCTTCATATCAGATATTTACATTACAATTCATAACAACAAAATTACAGTTATGAAGTCGCAACTAAAATAATTTTATGGTTGGTGGTCACCACAACATGAAGAACTGTATTAAAGGATCCCCGCATTAGGAAGGTTGAGAACCACTGAACTAAATGCTGCCATCTGACGGTCTCTCCTGGGATTGGCATGAACTCATGAACTG